AGAGAGAGAGAGAGAGAGAGAGAGGAGAGAGAGAGAGAGAGAAGACCAGGGCCATCGGTGAGGCGGCGTACCCGCGCGGGAGCTCCACGCCAGGTACTGGGAGCGGGCTCGCCTTTTCCTCGTAGTGACCCATCAAGGCTGGGCGGCGGCGGTACTAGTTTCGCAAGGGACAGACATGGAGCGACTCGGGACTCGTCTCAGTCCGGCCGCTACCCAGCTGCCCGCCGCGCCTGGCCGGGCTGCTGCTTCGCCGGCCGGGTGGCGCAGGCGGCCCTCCCGGCTCCCGCCCGTCTGGGATGCGCTCCCCAACCGCAGGGCGTCGGCGGCGCCCAAGAGGCACAAGAATAACGGCGGTGCTGGGCGGCTTGTGGGGTGACGGTGCCGCGCTCCTTCCCCGGCTCCTCGCCGTCCGTCCCCTCTCCCCGATGCCGTTTTCTTCCAGGGGAGGCGCCCCGGCCGCCGTGCCGGGGCGTAGCGCAGTCTGTGCTTTAAGTACAGCAAGATATTCACCCAGGCTAGATTAAGGTCAACAACCTAGGATTAAGGGTGGCTACAGACTTTAGACTTAATGCAGACTTAACATGAAGGTATTATATATGCAACTAAATGACACACATGGTATTTGTTCTAACCTTCTCAACAGAAAGTGAACATGTCAGGACAGCACCCCTCGATGACCATTATACTCAAGGGGTGTAGGCACTGATTCCCCAGGGGTGAAGTGATAGGAGCACAAACATGAGTCACTAGTTGGCTCTGTGTCTTTCCTCCTGCAGGAAAAAATATATGTGTGATGCCCAATGTGAGGTAACTGCATATTATAAAGCTGGAAATTGTACAAAGTTATGACACACAAGCAAAATGCATGTTACTGCTCTTGTTATTGCTATATTGATATGAGACCTCACAAGACACATAAATATGCATGGTAAAAAAGGGAGCAACAATACATTTCAAATGTAGCTTGTCATTATAAAATGATCATGAATTTCACTACATCAAAAGTGAATGAAATTAAGTGATAATCAAAGACTGGAAAAGAAGATCAGCATACACTACTAATATGTCTGTTTCCAAAGCTAAAGTATGATCCTCAATGTTGCAAAAGTTGGTTGACTTTAACAATAACTTTGAATAAAAAAAACAACATATAGTAAACAGTCACACTTCAAGGAAATCGCAAGATCCATCCAACCAACATGCCCTGTTTGGAATGCTGTTAACATGCTATGATCTTCACAGAATAGGTAAAATCAACTCAAATATTACATTCTTTTATTACAAATCATATCTTCCCATGAACTTCATTATTGTGACTGCAGAGCTCATTCAGTCAATCAGAGACTGTGCAGAGACTTCATCATTCAAACAATCTGAGAATCAATGTGCAGAGACTAACACTTTAAAATCTAGTGACATTTCACAAACATCTTTTATGCTACAAGCTTATGCTTACCAAACACTTTTCATGACTCAAATATGGTGGTGTTTATTTTAAGTGAAAACATTCATCCAGCACTAAGCAGATTATTTCTAAGCTCCACAAAGTCCCAATTTCTGTTATATTTCGCTTGGAGTCACTTCATAGTTTGAACTCAAAGTGCCTTGTGGATTTACCTCAGTTATGTAGGTAAATCCACAAGGATTGATGGGCTTTACCTCAGTTATGTAGCTGCTCCCTCAATTTAAGTTTCTCGTTAAATTTCACTGAGGCGTTGCAAGATGGGCTGTAGCCAAATTCACTTCCCTGTTCGGCTGATGCTCACAATACCTGGACATTTTTAATTCCAATTTTTGTAGCTGTTAACAATTGATGAAGGCCCAAGTACCTAGACAACAATGACGTTACAGAGGAAACCCCTGGCTGTGTTTCACGGGCGCGCTGGCGCTGCCAGCGCAATCTGTGAGCTAGCGTTAACCTCTGGTAGTGTTGGAGGTATAGGCTTGTTGATGTCTCTATGGAAATCAAAAGTGGCTGGCAAGTGTCTCGAAACACCACCCTTATTTTTGAACAATAATGGTGTGATAACTGTTGCTGCAAGAAAATATAAGGTGAAGTGAAGACGTGAAGTAAAATCAGGTCAGACATTAATATATACCCAAAAATAGCAGTGTATGGAGTACCTATATTCACATTACCAATAATATGATGCACAACAGGCCATAGAAAAACAGGTGAATATGGAATTGTAACCCAATTTCAATATCAACATGGCACTTGGCATTAACAGTAAAACACAAAGTTTTTGATGTTAAATCAACAGAGAAAACTCCTGAACATAAACAAAATGATCAGAATGTATAATAAGGATAAAAGTATAAATAAAAATCGACGAATCAGCCTATCATCGCCCTTACACATTCACCACTCCCCATTCCACGCACAGATTGTTTACCCCTTGGCTTACCCCGTGTTCGCAGTCTCCCGGTAAACGAAGATTCTAAACGCCGTCCGACCAATCACGTTCAAGATCAGCGGGGCTTGGCCGCGGTTCTCGAACGTCATTGGCCAGATCACGCAGAATCTCAGTCGTCAGCAAAACTTTGAACACGGTGTTATATTTTTCGCTATGGTAACAAAAGCGCCAGAATTGACTACCAGAATTGGATCCGAAGGTCAAATGGGTCACGTGACTGTGTAGTTCAGATGGACAACACCTGGTTAAAATCACTAGCCCTAGAGACCTTCTAGAGACTTTTCAGCGGTGACTTGAGTGGCAACCCTTCGTGTGACGTCTGCTCTACCAATGCCCTATGATGTCTGGTTAGGTATTTGATTTCAAATTATGTTAGGTTATATGTAGGTGAGGTTAAAACTTAAACAAGCTCTAAGACATACACACGGGCTTCATCTGAGATTAATATTGAGTTAGGGGTCAGGGTACCCACCTTCCTGTCAGGTCAAGATACTTGACACACCCGACACACCATCTTGCTATCTGAGGCGGCCCAGGAACCAGCTCAGGCAATTACAATGAAAGTCAACAGTCGTGCGGGCATTACACCACTCCCCGTTAAAATCTCATTTCAAGTAACTAGTTAATGACGATAATCACGCCGTCACAAATCTCACGAAACATATTGACCCTGTGATATTGATATTCCGAAAAGAAATATCCACAATGATTTATAGCGAACGTGTTCTTACGCAGCTGTGACATAAGCTGCGCATGCGAAAAACACCCGCTAGACCAATTGATGGCGAATGAACCTGTTGATGAAGAAATACTTGTCTCCCATTGGTCTGTGAACACAATCTGCAGGAAACGCAGCTTAAACTACAGTAAAATTTTGCAGGAAAATCTGCAGAAAGTAAGAAAAATGCAATTTAAACATACTTAGCCAATGAGTCTGGCCAATCTGTTGGTATATTCCGATAGATATTGAGCACGATCAGTCATTTTGAAAGAATTACGGTCCGACTCGCTTTATTTTTAAAGCAATGACGCATAAAAGAATTATTGAAAAATTGACAAAAATATTTTCTTGGGAGGAAAAGTGGGACAAGCGTTAAGTTAAAAATCAAAATTAATACACTGATCGAGACCTCGCTTTCAGAAGAATATATCGGTGCATTTTCGCATCGAATCTCTCTCAATCATGAGCAAACTTGGGTAAAAACAGCAAGATTGCCTGTTTTGTCAATTCACACATTTTCAGATTTGGGGGCAATTTTAAAGTTGATGGCCAATGTTTTAAAAGTCAACATTTTTACAGGAAAAAATACAGCTATTTTTCTTCCAAATTCATTGATTTGTAGAGTCCGACTCTCTCTTGTTTTCTCGCAGTTCCCGTTGTGCTCTGAGAGAAACGAACATGTGTATCATAGCGTTTGGTTCACTTCAAGACTGCAGAATTTGCACTTGAATTTTCTGCCGTGTGGAAGACCAGAGGGAGTCAGCTAATTTATGACAGAATGTGCTTGAAAAATGACTGGTGAATAATATCTTTTGCCAGCATCTGACAAACATTTATATTTTAAATGACGCTCTTCAACTGTCAAGTGAGTTCCAAATGGCCTAAATTGTCAGCTGTTTATCATCCTAGGTCAGCTCAAGGTCACAGACGTCAGCTGAAGAAAGTGGTCACCATTGGCCCTGTGTTGAGCGGACAAACCGGTGTTACCTAGTATTCTATGTACCGTGAACAGCCCTCAGATATATATGACGCAACCGCGACATTTGCAGCGCAATTTGACGGATGCTCCATGGGTTACCTTTGAATTTTAGCTGGTAAAAATTAACATACGGCTCGGAAATACGAACTGAGAAATAAAAAGAATCTTGCCATTCACAACAATCATCGAGAAACACCCACCACACCCACATACAACAATAACCACCAACACGCGCGCCGAAAACCACTCAAAACGCACGTGAACGTTCAAAACGCGTTGTTAATGTTATCATCAACTTGGCATCAACCTAGCGTGAAATTTGCGTAAAATGCACATTGAATTTGTCAAACATAAATGAAGTCATTGAAGACTATGCAAGGTTTCTTTTATGATTTGATGCCATTTGATGCATACTTCAAGTCAATAAGCAGCCATTAAATAAGGGAAAACCATATTAAAGTACATATGCCCTTTTAGAATTTGCAAAAGTTGTAATAGCATGTGCAATTTTGTCGTAAAACTCTTTGATAACTTTATTCATGGCAAATTTACAATCTTTCTTGTGATATTCCTGGTGAATTTTTTCATCCTTATTTTAAATTTTACTACATCATCTTGACAAAATTACAGGATAATAAAGAAAATAGTAACTTAATGGAAGAGAAAGGGAATCTTGCCTCAATAAATATTTGATTTATTTCTATGAAACCTTGAATGCATCGTCCCAAGCAGAAGATGAATTGGAATGTAAACAGCAACAAACAAGAAGCAGGAAGTGGCAGGAAATGGAAATCTGGGAAATATATGGCTTTGGGCAGGAAGCCAAGAAGAGGCTTTTGAAACATAGGGTATAATTAAATTAGATCGCTTGGATCTATATTGGAAAGCAACAGATTGATATTTAAGCTCCTATAATATCGCGATTGTGTTGTTTTTGCCCTTGCTTGCTGCTGCGACCGTTGATTATATCGTAAGATGGAAGTCGAAGATGGGAAGTTTAGACACATACGACAGTTTTTTGCCGAGGACGCCTGGGAAGCCCTAAGTGATCTCGAGAAGCAAGTTTATTGTAACATGAAGTCCAACTATGACAAGTTATCTGAACTCGGTGAGTCAGAGCTACCCAGTTTTTACGTTTTTATATGTTTAACCCTCGCCCGTATTGGTGTTTTTCCAGCCGCGAACGTATAAGGGGGGGGGGAACGGACCCCCCTTACCGTTTCGCCCCTGATTGAGCTAGAGCTTCGCGGAAAAAAACGAGCGTGCTGCCCGTGACGAGAGGAAGCCGATGATACCTAATTTTAACCCGCGCCCCACTGGGGGGGGGGGCTATTTATAGCCCCCCCTCCCGTTTTTCTGCAATAACTTCCAAACCGCTTGACGGATCGACGACAAACTTTCAGTACCTTCGGCTGCATCAATTTGACACCTTGTGTCAAAATTTGAACTTCGTAGCTACCATAGGTCGGCCGGAAATGACGTCAAAGTGACGTCATGTTCGTCCGATTTCGACGCAAAACATTGAACCACGGCAATCGCTCCCAAGAGCTCAGTTTTTAAGCTAGATCCAATTTCTTTGCATGAAAGAACTCAGAATTGATCGCGCTATCAAACTGCTATCTCGGATTTTCAAAATTTTGAAAATTTCGAAAATTTTATATAATAATATTCAAAATTTATATTTTTATATTTTTTTCAAAAGATTTTTGACTTTTCGAAAAAAACCGGAATATATGTGACAGAACGCATGATTATGACTAACTGTAGCAAGTTTTAGCTAAATATCTTCAAAAATGGCCAAGTTATACGCATTATTGCAAAAAATTCACAATTATTAATTTTTCAAATCAATTTTTCAGTACGTATTTGGCATCGTACACCAATATAAATGGCACCATCGTGTTCCTGAGCTCAAACTGCATCCAATAGACACCCTTTTTGTTGAAAAATTTCAACTTCAAAATTTGACCTTTTTTGACCTGAAAGTGACCTGACCTAAGCTAAATTCGACTCAAAATGACCTCGAATGACATAGACGACATCAAATTCGAAATCTATGGCCTAAATGGACCATAAAACATGTGTCACGTGACCGACGCATGATATAATATTTTCGTGACCTGTGATGACCTGACCCTGACCTGAAAATCAAAGTACAAGTTTGGTACCCTCAAGGTATCTAGAGCATCTGTTCACGAGTGTGGAAACCAAAAATGAGCCTGATCTTACTTGTAAGACGGCGGCCAGAGCCCAAAATGTGAACAAGCCAAGTGCTAATAATTTTTACTTTGACCTGACCTGTGACGTCATCGGTGACCTCGAGGTAAATGAAATTAGGTTTCGCTCGACAGTTTTTCCGGGGCTATCAGACGCCGTTTGAATTTTGACGATCGGCCCAGTAGTTTCGGAGTTAGGAGGGGGGGGGGCTATGAATAGCCCCCCCCCCCCAGTAGGGCGTGTTATACACAGACCCCAGTGGGGCGCGGGTTAAGGTCCTAGGTCATTGGTTGACCTTGCAGGTCAGGTCAATGACCCAAAAGTCGGGAAAATCGGGACCTGTTAGAACGTCGTAAAGTGTGGCTGCAATGGGGTTCTTCGGGGTGCTGATCACGAATATCATGTTAGTTTTGATCACAGATGATGTCTTCATGCGTTTAGTCCAGGTGGGGTCAGGTCAGGTCAGGTCAACCAGTAGGGGTCCTGCCGGGTATTCCTAGTAGGTGTCAACCGCCTCTGACAGCTTCGTAACATGTTACGAAGGCACCAAAACTACTTCGTAAATGTTCATATGGTTGCTAAATTCGAATTCAGCTCCAAAAACTGGCCTAGAAACATGTAAAACTCGAAAAAGTGAACCGAGGTCATCGAAGGTCAATGACCTGACCTGACCTTCAGGTGACCTTGACACCCACCCTTATGCATGGGGGCAACATCATATCACATGTTTGAACGCTTGAAACCACGAAAAGACTGCAAGCGCGCGGCTAATGCGAGCCGACATACGCCGAATCGGGATCCGGCCAAACATGGTCTTGAAAAGTAGGTCACAGGTCAAAGGTCATTGGGGTCAGGGTCATGAAATTTTCAGGGTAGGTGTAAAATTTATTAACGCGAGGGTACTGAAAGTTTCGTCGCGATCGGCCGCTTTTTACGCGAGTTATTAGTTAGTTAATAGTTATTATGCTATGGCCCGGCGAAAAAAGTGGGGGCGTTACTTCCCCCCCCCCCCCCCCAGCAACTCGCGGGTTAACCCTCGCCGGCCGAGGGGGGGGGGGCGGGTGCCGCCCCCCCCCATAGGGTTTTTTCGCGATAGCTCCGAACACGCTGGCGATAGAGAGCTGAAACTTGGCATACCTGACCTTTGATCCAAGCCGCATCTTTTGACACCAACCGCATTTTTGGGTCAGGTCAGGTCACTGACCTATGACGTCATAAGTGAACCTCTGCACGGTCTTCAGATGTCGCAACTTCGCAACGCTCTCACTGCCAGAGGAGATGTCACAGGGAAATGAAACTTGCAGGATCTAGTATCCATTATGAGTCTCACAACTTGTATATCTCGGATTTTTCCTAAAGGTCATATGAGGTCAGGTCATTTTCGTGACCTCACCATTATAAGTCAATGGGGAAAAATGAAAACTGCTATTCTGGCGCCGGGAACGATCTCCAACTATCTCAAGCACACAGAATCGTGATTTGATGCACTCCTTGCAAGGTTAGATGCGTCACTTTTGCAATGTTGACCTTCCGTGACGTCATTTATGACGTCATCAAGGTCATATTAGTTTTTCGTCAATAACTCCCGATCAAATTGAGCTAGCGAGTCGAGAAAGCCACCAATGGACTCAGGAAGACCTACCGAATCGAATGATATGCGACATGACCTCTTTCGACCAACTTCGTGACCTGGGGGTGCTGACCTGACCTTGACCTGAGGTCAACACCCCAAGTTGACCTGACCCGAACAAAAAGTATATCATTCGACGCGCCTGAGCGAGACGAACACGATGCTGCCAAAATCGCGGCTCTGCGGCCGTTTTTTGCGAAGTTATTCACCAAAAACTGAACCGTACCCTGGGGCACTTGACCTGACCTCAGAGGTCACCGGTTGACCTAGGACCTTAAAATCGGGTACAAATCTCTGCGTCTCGTAACGGCGCACACGGTCGTTTTTTCCGCGACGCGCTAGCTCCACCAGGGGCGAAACGGCGAGGGGGGGTCGTACCCGCCCCCCCCCCCTCGGCCGGCGCGTATGTAGAAAACCAATAGGTCCGGCGAGGGTTAATAGGGCTATCGAATGCGCTTTTCTGCGGCGCTTTAGCTCTATTGGTTCCCGAGTTATGCGTTGGCTTCCTGGAAATTGTCGACATTCGACCTGAAAATCGGCGAAATTTTGCCTTCAATGACCTCTGGTGACCTAACATTTGACCTGACCAAAAAAGTGACCGAAGTGATTTCGTCATTATCTTTGGCGCTCTTTCGAACGCCGCTTTTCGCGTATCGCTACGTGGCCCAGGAGCCGAGTTAGAGGGGGGGGGGGTGTTCAACCCCCCCCCCCAGCAGGGCCTCGTTTCATAAAGCGAGTCCGTAACTTACGCCGGTTTTTGGTCTTGTATTGCAAGTGCATGTGATTGTGAAGCGATGACGATAATTTGAATCGTTGAGTTTATTTATCTTGCAAACAAGAACAGAAGGGAAAAGGGGAAATAAATTTATCACTTCACATGCACTTGCAATACAAGCCCAAAAACCGGCGTAAGTTACGGACTCGCTTTATGAAACGAGGCCCAGGGCGTGGAAATCCAGGACCCCCAGCCGGGCCCGGGTTAATGAAGGCTGCGTATGCTGTATACGCGCAGCCTTAACCCTATTAGTGGCAGGCTCCTGGCTACCCCTATTAGTGGCAGGGGGGGGGGCTGTTTACGACCCCCCCCCTTGATATCTCGAGATCTAACGGGCCGATTTTCAAAATTCAAACGGCATTCGATTTCGCTCAACGTGATCTACATTTCCAAAAAATAAAAATTAAGAAAATGTCAATAGGGGGGTAGAGGGGGGTAAAAACGGGCAAATTGCAGATACATTTTAGACTGTTTATCACGGCCAGTTTTCTGAACCAATCTTAACGCAACTTTTGCCGATCGATAGAGAATGAACCAGGAATTCACATGGATCCTAAAAATATGCATTTTCAAAAATCATAGGCGGATACAGATCATTGAGATTGGGGGTACACAAAAAGTATAGTAAATAAGGTTTTTGTTGGTACTGTTTCTGGAAAGGGTGGTAATGGTCTTGTTATGTTACAATTTTCTTATGAGAGAACGACTACAATTGTATTGGTCATGCATAGGCGGTGTCAGGGCACCTATGTTGGGAGGTAAAACATAACCCCCTTTTTGGACGCCTGGATCCGCCTATTATAGCAAAAACGTGTCAAAAGAGGGTGCACAATAACTTTGTGTATGTTATCACATGATACCTTTCATTCACTGTTCGTAAAACTGGTGCATACAGTGATAATACATCAGCATCGTGATCTTCGCCCAAATGACTCGCTTCACGAATAGGACTCCCCAATTCCCAGTGCTCTGGAGCCGCCCCTGGTAAAGTTATGAACTTGAAATTTTCAAGGAATGTGCCCAATTTAGTTTTAGGAAAAGTCAGAAAATTTCAGCATCGTAGCTTCAGCGGTTTCGGAGTTATTCCCGAAAAACCTGAGGGGTGGATAAAAACAACCCCCCCCCCCCTGCCACTAATAGGGTTAATGAATGTCTCGTCGAACCTTAACCCTACAAAACAAAACCAATGGCAAACAGCCCGTCAGTTTCTGGCCGAGTAATCGTGTACTGTGTAGCTCCATCAACGAGGAATCTTTAACCCTATTAGTGGCAGGGGGGTTGTTTTTATCCACCCCTCAGGTTTTTCGGGAATATCTCCGAAACCGCTGAAGCTACGATGCTGAAATTTTCTGACTTTTCCTAAAACTAAATTGGGCACATTCCCTGAAAATTTCAAGTTCATAACTTTACCAGGGGCGGCTCCAGAGCACTGGGAATTGGGGGTCCTATTCGTGAAGCGAGTCATTTGGGCGAAGATCACGATGCT